TATTATGAATTCTGCGTGGCTAGGTTTTTTAACAGGCAAGCGTAGAAAAAGTGTACGGATTCCACACAATTTATACACAGCTTTTCTACCTCTCTAAGTAAATTGACGCCGGCAAGTACAACATACGTAGGCCTGCTGTTTACATACGAGTACATTCTTTGTACTTCATTCTTCTTCAGTATATCACCTATCTAGTGGTACGCTACTATATCTACATTATAGCGTAAACATTTTTAAGGACTTTATCTCGTTCATTTCAAAATTGGGTATTTCGAGTAGTTTCCAGCGTTCTTGGTTATAACTATATTAATTTCATTGGTATTGGATATTGGGTTTAGGAGATACTTAGGCAACTCCTAAAAATCAATTATAAAATGAATACAGAGCGAGATATTTGAAGTTAGCTGTGGTAGCGCCACGCAGCACGAATGAGCAGGCTCGTCCGGGTAAGTACCACGTGAGGTCGTGAAAAGTGAGAAGACCAGTGTGAAGTGGAAGTATAATACTTTCGCGTTCCGTCTGGTGAGTGAGGTAGCTGGAGCCCAATTTTCAAAAGGTTGTCAATGCATCTGTAACCCTCGGGAGAAGCAGATGTCCCTGGGCAGCGGTATTCACTTAACATCAAGTGAACCGTCTGCTCGCTTGGCAACTTATGACATAAAAAAGTCGGTTTGGTTTTTCGGTAATAAAAATGGACTTGTTTCAAGTCGGTTGAAAATTCAACAGGGACTAATGAATCCGTGTTTTTTTTATCTATGATGTGAAATATTAGCGTAAATATAAGAAATCAAGTAACAAGTTGAGGTACTGTAGTTTTGCATTTCTTCTCGGGAGTGTTTTTAAGAAAATTAACAGCATCGCAGACAGTTATTATGCTAATAATTATATGGTAATCTTTGCCAATTAAATATTACATAAATAATTTATAAATTTAGTTTAACATTATATATGGTGACAGAGTTATTGAATGAAGTAAAATGAACCTGCCAAGTGCGAGTCGGACTCACGCACGAATGGTTCTATAAAAAGGCAAAAAATCATGTCTGTTGTATGGGAGCCCCAATTAAATATTCTTTTGTTCTATTTTTTTAGTATTTAATGTTATATCGACAGCAGAAATACATCATCTGTTATAATTTCAACAGACAGACAGACAGACACAGCGGAGTCTTAGTAATAGTTTAGCCTTTGTGTCCGGAACCCTAAAAATTAATAGACTCTCACCGATGTGATGTCAATAATGTGGTTGGTTGTTTATTGTGTCATTGTTTGATGTGTGTGCACTGTGTAGTGCTTGCAATTTTGCAATTTACACAAAGGTTTTGGGAACAGTTCGGGCGTTTTTCAAGGGGTGTTAAGCAAATTAAAAGTAATTTAGCCATCATTGAAGTTTGTGCAAATATTATTTTTAATACAGAATATTAATAATGATCACTATTTTTTAAAGTGATGTAAATAATAACAAATTTAAGGAATAGATACATGTAAAAACATAAGGCAGAGTTTGGCGTTTTCGCTTTTAGTTTCCTCTTTTTTAACGCACATGTTACGATGTTTGCCTTTTGATGAGTAGAGCACGTGGTGAATTGTAACAAAAAACAAAAAACAAAAGAGACTACAGTCTAGATGTTTGTTAGTGAACATCTTATTTTGTAGAAAATTCCGATTCGAGACTTCTGTAGTTCACTCAATTTATTGATTATAGAAGAAAACCTATAATTAAATTGGTATATGTTTTTTCATTTTGTTCGACAATGATAAATCTTCAAAACGTTAAATATAATTATGAAGTAGCAAAGTTAAAGTTTATTTATAAAATATATATATATATATATATATATATATATATATATATATATAGTTTATATATATATATATATATATATATATATTACGTATTCAGTCATCGGAAACTTGTCAACTAATTTTATTTTATTTTATTTATTTAATGAACGCAAACATAATTGCGCATTAGTACACTATTTATGACTAAAGAAATTAAATATACATCAACTGTTCGTTAGGGTCATTCGCAATATTAGGTCGCAATATTATAGGCCAAAAAAATTCTGTTAAAAAAACAGCCGTTTGTTACAAAATCCATAGGTAAAACAATTTGTAAATATAAAAGTTTATAAATATCAAAAAAGTGATGAAAAAAAAATTATTGACTTTTAGCTTCATCTTTTTTTTTATGCGTAAAGTTGTCAAACGAGCAGACGGGTCACCTGATGTTAAGTGAATACCGCCGCCCATGGACATCTGCTACATCCGAGGTTTATAGATGCGTGACAACCTTTTGAAAATTGGGCTCCGGCTACCACACTTACCAGACGAAACGCGAAAGTATTTGTCATACTTCCACTTTACGCTGTTTTTTTGTGAGGTCGTGGTACTTACCCCCGGACGGACCTGCCCATTCGTGCAACAGCCGAGGCTCCTACGTGGCCCTACCGCCATATCAGTGCCATTTGGAACATGGACTGACGGAAGCAAACCTGCATCTTCTGGGTCACTCAGTCCTACGAATGAACTAAATAAGCTAAGCGGCCTTAATTAACAGATATTACGATTAATTACAAGGTAATTAATGCCGCAAAATTCACTTCACTAATTTTTACATACTTCACTGAAATGCCTGATTCTTTGAATCAAAAAACTTCAATAAAGAAGGAGGTTTCTCAATACGACCGTATACATTTCTATTTTTTTATGTGTGTTCGTGGATTCTTTTTTTGTTGGAATGAAGTTATCCCAAGGAAACCAAGATAAGGAAACCTGGATCTGATGGTGGCATCCCAGAGAAATTGAGGGCAATCCTCAAATGTTATAGGTATTATGATTGTACAATGATTTTAGTTTCCGGTTTGAAGTCGGTTTTTTTTTATTAAAAATTATAATTTTAGCTCATGGATCATGTGAGGAACCGAGGGCTCTGGAGTGGACTTCGCGAGTGGCTAACTATGAGATCAAGATCACAGACAGTATCTCTATCGTCAAGGTGGGTGAGATTGAATAGGATGCTGACGCCGGCCTAAGGATGACCAGGGTCTACTCGATGTCACAAAGTGAACGCCTTTTTCCTAACCCACGTACAATTAGTTTTGAAGTAATACTTTTTTGGCGCATTTGTTTTTTTGGCGAAAAAATGATGACAGTGAATATCGCGATGCGGTACCCCTTAAACCGATAACAACTTTTTGTCACTTACCTACCTATAAGTCCAAGTTATTGAATAAAACCGTTATCGATTGCATTTAACATGATTGCGTGTATTTCGTAACTTTCTAAGATCTTTGCTTGATGTTATAAAATACCACGGCCTTAGAGTAGACGGGCGTAAAGTAGAAGTGTTACACTCCTGCGTTTCTTCTGGTGAGTGAGGTAGCTTGGGCCCATTTTATTTAAAGGTGGCAATGCATTTGCAACCCTACGAGTGTTGTAAGTGTCCATGGGTGGCGGTTATCACCTAACATCAAGTGAACCGCCAGCTCGTTTGCCACTTTCTCACATAAAAATAAAGTTTTTTTTTCAATATATTGATACATTATAACATTGACCAATTATCAAAATTAATTGAACAATTATCAAAATTAATTTTAGATCCAATCTCTAGGATTTGTTTGATCCTCCAATTTTTTTCTGATAAACATAGATTTTGATGACTCCGTGGCGCAGTTGCCAAGGTCTTGGCTTTTGCGTCGGGGGTCGTGGGTTCGATTCCCGCACGGGTCAACTATTTGTGTGACCCACAGATAGTTGTTTCGGATCTGGGTGTTTGTCCGAGTGAAATTTATGTTTGTAAAACGTCCTTACAACACAGGATAATGCTATCCTAAAGTAAGGGCATTGTTTTAAAAAAAAAGACAAAATAAAAAGAAAAAAAGTTTAAACTGTCTATATTTAGTGTCAAAGTATTGACCAATTGCTAAAAAAATCACCGATCATTTATAACCGTTTCGTGTCACTTTTCACATCACAGTGTTCAATTTTCATCATGTGGGGCACTAAATAGATGGGACCGTTCTGAAGTACCGATTGAGAAAAAATGAAACTGGATTGAGGACCCGCTCCTTTTAAAGTCGATTGCAAATAGCGAAAGACTTTAGTTCTTTATTTGTTTTCACTATAGTAAGAACTGTCGATGCTAACGGATTTTAGCTAGAGATGGAAATCCTTTTGATGTTACCTTTCCTGCACTTCTTATGTCTCTTCCAAATAATACACATAGAAAACCATTCATATGTTCCATTGCTGATTGTGGTATATCTTGATAATGAACATCCCAAATGACTTTACAACTACTTCTGACATTTCATTTATCTTTTAATATATGGCCCAAGCACAAAATCTTAACGGTTTTCTACATCATCTGGTATTCCTACAAGAAGATACCGTCTTTCTTGGATTTATACGGACTACATCAATATAACGCCTTAATAACTTTTTTATAAAATGCTTTGAAAACGAAAATGATATTTATCCATGTAAAATATGAGCAGAGGATATAAAATATGAGGAATAAATGGAGTGAACAATAACATGTTAAAGTACCTAAATTTATTCCAGTAAATCTACACTTCTTTTGAATTTATATATAATGTATATATTTGTAAATCTAAGATATATGTTTATAAAATTCTTAATAAAGTTTCATTCATTTTCAAGTCATTAAAGGTGGTAAAAACGTAGTTAGATACTTTAAGGCTCCTTTAAGAAAGGACCCTTTATTAATTAAAGTACATAATAGATAAAGCAACAAAGTGACAGCTTTCCGATACAGCGCTTCAATTAAAATGTACCACGGGCTTACCCCCGCGCATGTATCGCCAAAGATAGCACCATCGCGCATTCCGGCATCACGTCACGTATTAATGCTTGTATATAAACCAAGCCCTGGACTCCGTTGGAATACATTGTGATCGTTTAACGGACGGCAGTCGGACGCATCTGCCGTCGAGCAGTTTAATATTCAAAATTTACGTTCAGTAAAGTGGAAAATGAAATTGTTTGTGATACTGTCGCTGGCGGCGCTCGCAAGCGCCCAAATCCCGGCCACGAGGGTGGTGAAGAACATTTACAAGGAATGCCTGAGCCAGTACTCCGTGGAGTGTGTGAAACCGAGGGCCCTGGAGTGGATTTCGCGAGTGGCTAACGACGATGAGATCAAGATCACGGACAGTCTCTCCATCGTTAAGGTGGGCGAGATTGAAGAGGATGCTGACAGCGACCCAAGGATGGCCAGGGACCCTATCTACTCGATGTTCGATAAAGTGGACAGCTTTCTGCAAACCCACTCTGTCAGGGTGAAAGTGCCCGATGAGATCGTCAACAGTGCCGCCTCCGAGTATGTCCCGAGATCGCTCTTCACGGACCTGCCCTCTGAATTGAGCATGCCCTTGGACGGCGAGGAGGAGGTGGAGACCTTCGAAGGCAGGAAGAAGAAGATCAAGCTTCCCAAGCCTTTGAGGATCAAGAGCAGTGCGTAATTTTATCTAGCAGTCAGCACTCACAACACATGTAAAATGTATTTTATAAATTTTTTATATGGTTTCAGAACACGGTTTCATCAAGAAGGTGATCCTGCCTTTCCTCCTCGGTCTGAAATTCAAGACCGCAGTCCTCGTACCCTTGGCCCTCGCTATGATCGCTCTCAAGACATGGAAGGCACTCACACTTGGTCTCATCTCACTAGTCCTTTCCGGTAAGATTATTTGACGAACGTTTAGTAAAATCCTAAAATATAAAACCTAATAAAGCATCTTTTAGCGAAGAGACAAATGATTTCTTACATTGATTCGAATATAACATTAATTTCTTTACCCCGTAAATATTCTTAAAACAAGAATATCTTTCAAAAAATTCAATTTATTACTTAAGGCATTTAGTTTATTTTTTCCCTGAGAGGTTTCAGATATATTAAAACTTTAATAACCAATATGTGTCATTCCAGGTGCTATGGTCATCTTCAAATTCACTAAGCCCAAGGTTGTGAACTACGAAGTCATCCACTACCCGCAGCACCACGTTGAACACCATGTCGACCACCACGCCCCTGGCTGGGACTCGCACGGTCCTTACCAGGCACGATCCTACGAAGACGCCCACGAAATCGCTTACTCCGGACAAATTTGAACCGAAACGATGCAAAGAGCTTTAAAATAATACGGACCTCTGATTAATTAATTTATTTAAATTATTTATTTTATTGTAAATAAAGTCTCTACTATATAAGTTTCAAATTGTAATCAAGATTGTTTGTTAATGCTTCAATCCTCTCCTATCTCAACACCAAAACGTCATCGTTGCATTCAGGGGCATTTGAGTCTGTAGTCATTTTAACAACTGCTGGATCTAATTCTGATTTTATTTCTTCCTGTTTTTTCGCATTATGAATTGGATTAACACTGTCCACTGATGTATCGGAGATGATTTTACCGTCTGCATTATTGACAAGGATTTTGACTTTCCCTTGAGCGACCTTATCGCCTGTGTCAAAAAGTTCGATTCGTAGCATATCATTAAATATTGAACTTTTCATAAAAACTTCTGGTGTGCTGCTTTCTACGAAGGAACCTTCCAAATCGTCTGTAGCGGTCGTCCGACTCTGCGTATGATGTATTAACGATTCAATTTGCCTCAATTTAGCACCAGTTTCCCTTTCTTTCAATCTCGTACTTTCGTTTGAATCAAAATTCAAGACAACACTCCTCACCTTGTCCGATCTGGACGAAAGCATTTGATTGGAAAACTTTTGGTAGACTTTGGAGTGTTTCAGAGGGTTTGTTTTGTATATATTCAACAAGGCCTTGAAAGCATTCCCCATGTGACCCCTTTTTATTCTGCGATGAACAGAGCTCTGTGCCGAAACCACTGATATCTGTAAAGAAGTATTACAGCTTATGAGGCAAAAATGTATATTAACGCAATTACCAATAACAGCAGTAAGTTATCTAATGCTACTTTTTGTATTTTTTTAATATATCATTTGATTATATTATTATAGGTCTCGTATTAGCTATAGAATAGTTGGGCAACCCCCGATACTTTATGATTTGTGAATGAGAAAAACTCTATTATTTATCAGTAAGGCATACGTCACTTGTACAATTCAAAAGCAATATGTATGGGCTCAAGCTGTGCTATAGCGTTAAAATTCTTCGGCCGCAAAATACTAATCAGATGCGATAGAAATTCGCCTCATTACGCATTTGCTCACGTATTGCGGCGAATCGCGAGTTCAGTTCCGGCCCGGGCTGCCGGGGTAATGTAGTCATTGATTCTATTGTCAGTCGATCCAAGAATAGAAAAGAAACTATCAAGTGCCAGATTCCAGTACATGGGATTGCCAAACGCTCTGTTTACATTTGGTCAGCAGGATTTAAGATCGACAAGCTTTGCACTTTGCATGGAGCTTATTTAGTTTCCAGCACAACAAGTTTTAGCCCTGTCGTTGCATAGAAGGCAGAAATGAAAACGTCATTGCTTCAAAACTTTGGAATCTTTTCCCCAACCTAATGTCGCAAATTGGGCTGTCGCTTTCTATTTCTGAAAAAGGAGGCAAGCGAGGAAGCGGGTCAACTGATCGAATGCTATCCCCAACGCTCAAGGAGACTGGAAACATTAGATATGTTAATAATACATTGATGGCCTTGAGACCTTGAAATCGTTTTCTTCTTAAAGGTTCTACAATACCCATTAGAGACAACTGTCTCCTTAGAGTAGCTGTGCGTGCCGTATATACATAATATAGGTAGAAAAGAGAGTAAACATGTAATGTATGTAAGTAATAAATGCTGCTGTTTCCAGAGGAAGTCATCTGATGTCAATTGATAACCGTCAACTACGAACATCTGCAATCCTTGTGGGGTTACAGATGCATTCCGTGATATATATAAACCATGATCGTTTTAGGACGATGACCTCATCTCGGCACTAATTAACGAGTTTGCTTCATTGGTCATCACTAGATTTTATGACAAAACGCTTGTTACCTTAACAGTCACTATCACTGGCGAATTCGAATCTAGCAGCCATTTATAAAGTAGTTTCGTGTGTCTGAGTGCACAAAACTTAAAAACTAGCCGATGGATTGACTTAATTCTTGTTCACGGCTATCGAACCGGACAACAACAATAATAATGATAATAATAAACGGAAACTGCTCGGCTCTATTGGGACCGATCCATCATCACGGACAGGACGATTGTCGCGAACAAACCTGATATCGTGTTGATGGACCGGGCACAGTCGCGGGTATTTTTGGTCGACATTACCATTCCATATGACGAAAACCTCGTGAAAGCCGAAACAGATAAGAAGACGAAGTATCTGGACCTTGCTCACGAGGTGACCGCCATGTGGGGTGGTGTGCCGACCGAAATTATTCCGATAGTCGTGTCTGCGAATGGGTTGATCCCAGTCAGCCTCTCCGGACATCTGAGGCGACTGATACTCCGGGACGGACCGCAGGATATTGGATAACTAGTTCGTGACTGACTCAGTATAAGCATATAAAGGCTTAAATGTGTCCAAAGTAATAAGCATATAAGGACTTAAATAGGTCCATTTTGTTCATTCCGGGTTCGGCTTGAACAACCAATATTCTTTTTAATTGATATGAATTTGAAGTCAGTCAGAGTATAATTTAAGTTTTAAACATATGACAAAATAAGTTTAAGTTTTTGGCTTTTTGAAAGTCATATACGATTTACTTTTCTAGTACGTTTTGTGACATGATCACCGATGGTTAATAATGAATAAAATTTGTGGACATAATTTATTAGACACGGTTTCCCACTGCAATTTCAATATGGTTCGGATTTCACAAGATTTTGAATTATTGTTTTTCAACATTTCATACAATTTTGTAATAAAAATATATGAATATACAAGGCTGAGTTGAAAATACAGGGGGAAATATTTTTTTGGAGTTTCTCTTTTTTCAATACAGAAAAATTTCAAAGCGACCTTACCAATGTCCAGTTGATTAAGAGTGCACCAATCAAATGGGTTTTCATTGTTTCGAGTATGTTTCCTACACCATATCAAATGTTTAGGTTTGTGAAGTCAGCTTTGAGAAAGATTACGCTGCCACTACTAAACACTCCATAATGCACACTGTTTGGCATATTTTGGAAAACTCAGCGAACGGATGGGAGAGTAGGAGTGCAAATGGTATTCTGAATGATGTGATCTATTTTGGCCTTTTTTTGTAAGATGACAGAATGACACGTGAAATTAATAAAAACGTCGCCTCCGTAATGACGTCCAACGATCGGACTTTTCCATCAGTTCCGATGAAAACAACCAAAAACACCAAAATGCCAAAGGACTTAGTTTGAATTAAAGTAGTAGGTATCTATGTACTTTACGATACAACTTCGTAATATACATATAAGTATTGCCAACAAAGACTAATCCCTGGTAAAGTTACCAACACTGAATACATACTACTCGAATATAATGACTCGGATTTTGTAAAAACAACAGAGTCACACTAGTTTGACACATAAAAATATTTCCCACAGTCTTTAATATTGAAATTGAATGTTTTTTCTGCCAGCAATTTTTTATATATAGGTAGCACACAGAACTTGATCTTACATTATGTTTTGAGATAGCTGTTGAGTGCAAAACTACTCTTTTAATCCTGGTAGGTATGTTAATAAAACGGAAAAAGTGATGAAATTTCAATAAGACCAATATAATATAAACGTTAAAAATATTATAATTTATTAAATAACATCATAAATAAGTAAACTTTAAAAATTATGAAATGAATTAAAAGCTCTCTTTTATTACATAATTTGGATTTAAACGTTACAAAGGACACTAATAACATTTGTTCTATTTCTATATTTTTGAGCAAATTGAGAGTTTTTGTTACAATTAATAGATTCTAACGTCCTAGTGACTGAATTTTATGTAAATATTTAAACTTAAGTATAAGCTATGTACTATTCGATAGAAGTCTTTTGAAACTTAATTTATGCCTTCGGCAAATTTTAAAAATGTTATTCTGGAATTATCAAACAAATAGTTGTGTACTCTCCTAATATTCCGTTTATTGCCAAAACACTATTGAATCGTAGAGACAATTTATTTCATGGTTCGCCTAAAGTTGTTTTGTAAGGTGCGGTACTTATTTTTACTTTTGCTCTCCGAATTACTTGCAATTTTTTCTAAAAATTATAATAAAATAAATGACTACTTACTATACTGTTATTCTGAGAAATTGCATCAACTTGTTCATCAAAATAATGTAACACGCTTATCGCTACAATATAAATAAATAAGTAATTTTTTACAAATTTGTTCTTAATTTATGTTTTAAACATTATGATTATATTTTTAACTACCCGAAACGTTAAATTCGTGTTTTAAAACAATGACATATTCCAGCTTTCTAAACGCCATCTATCTTTCGTCATTGGCAACGTATGCTAATGATAAGTAAAAGCACCAAGAGATGGCATTAAGATAGCATTACAACATTACTCGAAAAAAGTTAAAATTGAATAATTTTTAAAAATACTATTTAAATACAAAAATTTACTATTAAAGTAAATTATTAATCAAGAAATAAATTTAAGCTTGCTACTAACTCTATGTTTGGCTGTAGCTGTCTTTTATAATTCATAAATACTTAAAAAAATATTTCTTTCATAAATGCAACACAATGTTTGAGTAAATTTCAATTAAAGTATTTTCACGATTATTTACACTAAAATCATAAACATTTAACCAATGTTCGACAACATTATTATTATGAATTATGATTACCCACTGTTAAACAGTTCTCTGTAATTGTAACCCAGGGGCTTCTTATTTCTTCATATTTCAATAATTTGTTTTAATTAACACATGGTTATGCAAATAAATGATTAGAAATAGGAATCGAAATGACTTTTAATTCTGCTCCTTTAATCATAGTGTAAAAGACTTGATATATTGGCCCGTGGAATCGACAAGGTTTTAGACACGCTTGAACTAAGTACCCAATTGTTTTTGGGATATCGTTTTGTGGTTATTTGTAACCTCTCTATGGTTCGGTTACTTTTTATTATAGTCTATGTTGCAATGCGGGTAGAGGGTGACGCAGTCCTTTTCTTCTTGCCCATCTCTGGCCGCTTGCACGTATCTGTAGTATCTCAGCGCCATCTTGCTGTCTGCAGGTGGTACTAGTTCACTGGACTCCCTGAAAATAAAAAGCAGGTGAAATTAAAATACAAGGATATAAGTTTGATAGCTTCTTTGAACTTAAAATTATACCGTTACTAAGTAAAAACTATTGCTTAGGCAAGTTGTTTGTGTTAGTTGTAAATTAATGCTCGTTAAGTATGACATCTAGTCAATAGTAGGATTGATTTTTTAATGAATACGAAATCTGAACTGACTGGTTTACACTTTGATCGTATACAACGTATAACATTCAATACTTAAATACAATTATAGTGACTCATTCGAATACAGCTACTGCAATAAGGTGTAAAATGAAAGTAAACGTTTGGGTCATTGGAACGTTTCTACCAGACTTACACGTCACTCTCCCTTTGCTTTCAATTTCCATTTCATTATGGTTGAAATAAAACGACATCATCTGCATATAGTATGTACTCGTACTTAAAAGTAGAGAATGGTTGTAAGCGTCGAACATGGCACTTGTATAGAGAGAAAGTTTTATTTATATGTATTTTAATGTACAGATTAAATATTATTTTATCTTAAATCGTAAACAATTTGGGATCGATATAAGTGAACTAATGAATTAAATTATCTGCATTAGTAGTAAAAGAAATTTGCTATGTATTTCAAAATAGTTATATTTTTATATTATAACAATAAAATATGCTGCCAATACACAGAAAGAAGAAAGTTTAAACTTACTCAGACAGTACAAAATACGTTTTTAAATAATAAAACAAGTAAAAAGTTAAATAATTCCTCGCCTAACAAAATGTGGATTCAATTATAAAAATATAAATTGCAAGTAAGACTCTCATAGCTAGTCGAGTATAACTATCTCTTCTCAATCAACGTCTCCTATATTTCTTAAATTTTTACAATACAATTCGTGAAACAATGCGAGCTATTGTTTACAAATAATTTCATAGAGCCATAGCAAATAGCGACAATTTCAGTGCGTGTACCGTAACGGGTATTATTATGACAAACATGACAGCACTTCAAAAATCATAAATTATACGGAACTAATTGAGGTACGAGAAAGTAATGTATTGGAAGATCTTTTGCTTTCGAACCTATACTTTTGCTCATATTATTTCATGTCACTATGGACGTAATGAAAAGCCGTAATGATAATATATATAGATAATTGTTTTTATTACCTCTCTGTAAAAGATGTTATAAATGCGATTAGAGAAGAATAATTCCACAGTATTTTTTTTTTTGTGTAAGTCTGTAAAACTATTCAAGTAATAACGTTTTTAACGTCTGTGCTGAATTATGAAGTAGGTACTCAGCATTACAGGAAAACATTTAAAAGAAACCTCATGTTTTAAAAATAAAATCAAAATATGATAAGTCCGTGGTGTGGTGGACTATGCCTTAATATCCCCTGTAGGAAAGGGGGCCTTTGTAGTGGGACATACAATGACCGTTATTTTATGTTACTTAACGTTTTTGCTAGATTCGATTGTATATCAGTAAAAATTAATGTAATGGAATTTTTAATTATTCTATTATAAACACATACTGAGGACTGATAATAATTTTATGGAATTTGATAGCCATAATATCTCCAAAGTAATAACTGTGAAGAAATAAACCAAGTTTCAATAATATCCCGTGTAATTTCATGATTTATTTTATTTTTAGTGCTGTTTGTGTGCAGTCAAGATGAAACTTAAAGTTTTTGTAGAATAATTGTCGAACACTGGCACTGCGCGTTTCGAAACTAATGTAAAATCGTACATAATGAAACACTAGATGGCACCGAGCATTGCTAAAAATGCAATAGAACGAACGTTGACATATATAAAGATTTTCGCGCCGTGAGCTCATCGACCGCTTTGCTTATGTAGAGAAGTGGATGTATCAATGAAAAATAGGTCGCTCGTAGATCGATCGATTTAATGTCTGGCAATTTTTGATGTTGCACTTGAGCCGTAGAAGTTGTAAGTGACGAGGCAAAATTGGGTGTCTCTGGGGGCCCCGATCTAAGCGGAAGTGGCGTTTGGTGTTGCCGTAACAGCTTAGTTGGTAAAGCGTTTGGGCGCTTTACTCGGGCTACGCACGTTTATGTCGCGCTACGTGACAAAGGCTATGTGACAAGACAGAATCACAAAAAGTATTTGCGGCAATTTTTATATAAGAAATTAACATTTTAACCGTCTAATCACTAAAGAAGTATGTAAATTGAAAATAAATGGAACGAAAGAAAAAAGTCACCTGGACTAGAACCCGGGTCATCTGGTTTCAGGACCACCCGATTTGCCACCAGTGATATTATTACCTTGTGGTGGCGTATTCTAATGATATTGTAGTAGCTTGTCATTGCTTAAAAACAAGGATAAAACGATGTTTTCTAAAAATTAAACCTAGCTAGATCGCTTTAGTTTTATTAGATAATTTTAGATTGTAGAGGCAACAGGAGAAACTCTACAACGATCTATTGAACTGGCGCATGATAGAAGCAAATGGCGAAAAATTACATATGGTCACGATCCTCATTAGTGAGGGAACGACGAAGAAGAAGATCACTTTATTGCCCTCGAAACTCCCCTATACAAAATTTTCTCGAAAATCGTCCGAGTCGTTTCAGAGATTCAGATTATACATATATATACAAGAATTTCTTTTGTAATACACTAATTTATATACATATTATATGACATAATGGATGTACGCTGTCAATTATATGTATAAAATATTCCATTAGCTTCTTTATCGATTAAATCAATTTTAGTACACAAACACTTACTTGCTGAGTTCATTAGAGACTAGATTGCTGTATGGCGAATGCTTAAAGGGGTCCTTGTACATTGCGCACACCGCCCTCTCCCGGCACCCGACGTCCGACGCACCCATTGGGCTCAGAATTGTATCGATTTTCTCCAATAGAGCGCCGTAGAATCTCTCCGCGGCAATAGTGTCCTATAATTGGAACATTTTTGTATTAGTGCTTAAATTTCATTCAAGGTCCAATGACGAAAATGCGCTTCCAAGAAAGACTACGATGCTTTCAGACCTATTACTATAAATTTTGCAAGAAGAAACGCTGTTTCGAGAAGTCTCTGTCCAAGTTAAAGTACAAGTTCTGTGGATCATGATGTATATGCCGACGATTCACTTATATGGAACTTATTAAAATCTATGTTGGAAGGGTAAACATGGAGAATTAAAAAAAATTGGGACGATGGATAACTTTTTTTAATGTGAAAAAGTGGCAAACGCGTTTGCGGTTCACCTGATGTTAAGTGATAGCCGCCGCCCATGGACATTTGCAACACCCGTAGGGTTGCAAATGCGTTGCCACCTTTAAATAAAGTAGGCTATCTACTTTAGAGTAAAGGTTATCTTTCGAAAGTCTATTCCCCGCTCCCTTCCCGACCTCTAGGGGATGAGAAGGGATAGCGGCTTTCGGTAACCGTACTCACGGAGTGGCGGTATAAATGCTTGACAACGGTTTCCTATACGATCGGACCAATAAATCTACGTTTTAAGATTTCAAATATAGTACGGTGGAGATCTGTGTTAGGTTAGGCCTTTAAAATGTGTACAAATAAAAAAAAATATGATAATCGATTGATTGCATCAGCTTGCTGCTTATATTATCAAACAACTTGTATTGTAAGTTGAAAGTTTTTGCTGTTCATTTTTTTATGTATTTATGCTTGTTGCAAAACTTCAAAAAAAGGGATTACAAAAGGTAGACTTATGTCATTTGAGCATTCTCTAGTCAACCCGGGGCGTGGAGAGAGATTGTGGTAGGTGCAATGAGCTAAAAAATACACACAAATATTTTTTTTTATTTTTTTTAAGTTATCGGATTTAAGTCGTGTATACAGAACAACGTCCTCCCGGTCTTCCAGTTATATATAAAAGTTTTGTTAAGGTGAATTCCGCTTACAGGGTCTTGTGAGGCGAGTATCTCCTGCTGTTGCCTCACAAGCTCCGTCTCGGCTTTGACTCGGTTCGTCTCAACCAGCTTGGCCTGCGACACCCGAATTATCTCGTCCCTCACCGGCGAAGCGGGCGCCTGGGCAGCGAGAGACGCCGCGCGTATCTGAAGACGAAACTCTCCTGGTATTTTTGACAGCATACAAAAGCTATAAATAGAGCCGTAATAGCTCAGTGTCGGGGCGCTCGTCTTTAATTCAATATACTCAAACAACATGTCTTCGATCCCCGGTGCCGGCACCAATGAAATTGTTAATATCAAGTGCTGACTTATCACGTGCTCAGCAGTGGAAGGAAAAACATCGCGAGAAAAGCTGCATATTTTCGAAATAATAACAAAAAATATTTCGAAAGATATGCGAAATCCGTCAATCCACAGTGGGGCCGCGTGGTGGACTACGCCCTGATACCCTCTGTATAGAGGAGGCCTTTGCTCAGCAGTGGGACATGTACATGCTGTTACTTTACTTTTACTTTACTTACAACAGCTATGATAACGAAAGCAGTATTGTGCAATGAACGCATCACCTCATGCGTTCATTGCTACGTGCTCTTCACATAAAACAGAAAGTTTGACGGAAAAACTTGTAACGATGTAATAAAACATACGTTGCGTGATGTGCGATCATCAGATCGAAGCAAGCAATCCCCACAAATATCTCTTGTATTAATGTCGTAACTTTGTATAAGTAAAAGTAAAAATAAGTGAAGTAAGCCTATGTTGTTTATGTCCCACTGATGGTCAAGCAAACTGACTGCAGATTTGCAGATTTCAAATATCTTCTTTAATTTTTTTATTATCATTTCAATTTCTATATCATCACGTTATCTCACGATTTTTCCCTTCAACGCCACGTGATAAGTTAGTCATTAAAATTGCAAGTAAAATTTCATTGGTGCCGGCGCCGGGAACTCAATTAAAAGCCAGCCCAGACACTGAGCTAGCTATCATGGCTATCATGGCTCGTAAATAAACGTTAGATATGAATCTACGGTTGATTGCTTTCTCAGAAATTACCTATTAACAGTTAAACTAACGAAATTGACGTTTAATACATTTCTTATGTCCAAAGGCCTCCTCTTAACAAAGGGTAAGGCACACCCTAGCTTAAGTAAAGTGTTATACCTCATCAAACAACTTCACGCCATGTAATAATTTATTACAACTAATTACTAGTATTAAATTCGAATAAATCGACATACCGTCCAGAAAATTATCTTTACAAGATTTTTCCCCAATACTAAATTCGATACTCAATTCAAAACTCCAAAAACTTCGTCATTATAGTGCAGGCTCAAGCAAGTAATCATCTATACTTGAATGTTAATTAAATTAAAAATCAATAAATATAAACACTTACAAGTGCTTCCTTCTCAGGGTCTCTCGCTGTCGCCTTTTTGTTTCTGTAGTAGGGATTTGGAGGTCCGACAGGCCTTGAAATAAGAAAACTAGTTATAATAAAAAAAACTGTATTCAACTTAAAATTAGTTTCTATTTACTATTTATAACAGCCATTTGTTTATTTTTCGTAGAGCCGATAGCTCTACTTTTAAGGCTACTTTCTACGAATTATAATAGTATTAATTATATTTTTTTTATTTGAAAAGTTGCCAAGCGAGCAGACAGTTCACCAGATGTTAAGAGAATACCGCCGTCCATGGACATCTGCTACACCCGAGGGTTAATATGGCTCCGGCCACCTCCATCACCAGACAAAACGCGAAAGTATTTATCATACTTCCATTTTACGACGATCTTCTGTGAGGTCGTGGTACTTACCCGGACGAACCTGCCCATTCGTGCAACAGCCGAGGCTGCTGCCTGGCCCTACCACCGTTATATAAAATGACTTGTACTTTTACAGTCGAAAGTTACCAACCAAAGAATTAATTGACATTAATTAGTCATTTTACATGTTGACGTTAAATACAGTCTTAATTGAAAGTGTTATTTTCAAATTTTACTTATAAAAAAACAACAATCATTGTTTCGTTATAAATCTTATTGTGATAATTATCGCATTCAATGCTGCCGTGACAAAATGTTTATTACATGGAGTGGGTAAATTGCTGAAAAGCATGAAATTGTCCAAAGAATGTAATCGCAACATGCAATAATTAAATATGATAGAGTCCAGTAAGCATAAAAATCGATTTAATAGTTTCATTGGATATATTACGTATTTCGTCGTGTTTAATTTTATTTTAAATAGGTACTGCACGTCCTACGTAATTTTAAGCATATGATTATTGAATGCAATAATCGTATGCTTAAAATTTTTTGTAGATAGGCCGCACTAATGAGGGGCTAACTATGGAATTGTGGCGGCAAACAGACACTAGAAAAACACTATGTTTGTCACACAAATTTTTTTCAGTATTGGGGATCGAACTCATACTCTCTGGCGCAAGAGTCAGCGTCACTATCAAGTTGATAGTATCAACCACGCCAATTGGGTCGTTTATATAGCTTTATAATATGTTCTTTGTTTGTAAGATTTGTAAGAAAAACAAATAGAAGTTGAAATAAAATTTTATTTCGATAAAAATTTATTAAGTGACTAAAAATATGTTCAATATTTTTTATTCAATAGAAATAGTATAGATATAAATGAATAGCAAAGTAAAGTAAAAACGAATAAAGTAACAGCCTATATACAGTGGGACATGTATAAGCTGTCACTTGTTTTTTACTCTATAACTCTGCAGCCTTTCGGACCATCAAGTTGAATTCGCATAGAGTTGAAATCTCAAAAAGTTGAACTTGTGTAATGTTGAATCCTACAAAGTTGACTTCCAACATGTTGAATTATGATTTCCCAAAAAGTTGAATTTGTAAAATGTTGAATCCCTTAAAGTTGAATCCTTCAAATTATTGAACTGTTTTTTAGATTATACCTACATCCCACCTATGTACCTAATACGAATCGAATAACATTATAAGGTAAGGGCAATTTTGACAGATGAACAAATTAGTACTTGGCGTACGCTGTTTTATTGAACTAAACTTAACTAAAATACAAAATCAACTTTCTTCCACTTAAAATAAGGTACGCTGTTTTATTGAACTAAACTTTACTAAAATACAAAATCAACTTTCTTCCACTTAAAATAAGGTATAATTAAAAAAATAAGTTAGAAACCAAGTTTTAATCTGGTTAAATGGATTTTCATTAGAAACATTTTTGGTGAAATTACTCTTCTTTTCAGTTGTTTTAATAAAGATGCATACTTAATGTCAAACAAAATATCTTTCGTCCGCCTATTTTTTTGAATGGTGCAAATAACAAATACCTTTCGATCTTTATATCGTAATGCTTCGTTTCTTTTAAAAGTGTACGGAATATAAAAGTTAGGGTTTCGTGGTAATCCCGCATTAATTCGCCGATGGTACCCCTCGCAATTATTTGGTGTCTCTTGCACAACTTATCATATTATGATCTTTGTCATACCATTGGGCTTGGAAGTATTTTAAGAAAGACTTCATTTTTAGTGTAGATGGTGCAGCCTGTTGAATACTTTTCCAGGCTTGTTTCATGAAAGTGGGAGGAATTAAAACAAAATAGGAGCACATTCTAACGATGCTTCTTGCTTTTCTGTCGCTACTTGTAGGTCTTGTCACTCTTGCAATTTTGCATTCTTTTGCTTTTTTCCAGACGGCTTGATTAAAGTGCTGGAAACACCCGGATAAATGAACATCTGGAAATATTGCTTTGACAGCATTAATTTGAGCCGCTTCGTAATCACATTTAAATGCTTTTATTACAACAGGCAGCTTCTCTTTTATCAAATTGAATAATCTTGTATAGGTTTTTTCTGTTTTATTTGGAAGAAATGCATATATAACAGGAAATACATTAACTGTGGTTTCGTCTGAAAATACGTCTAGTTGGATTATGTAAAGTTGATAAAAAGGGCGTGGAGAAACTTTGAATGTACCGTCACCACTGTAACTACACAGTTCTGACGATTTCATTGCTGTTATGGCAGTCTGAGAACAAAGTACGATAATTTTTTCTTGATCTCCATCTTCATAAACCTTGATATTTTTAGGCAGTCCCTTCGGAACTGTCACATCTTCAACTCTATTGAAAACTAGTGAATTTGTGCCCAAGAATTTTTTCCGGGTTCTATATAAAGTACTTCTTACTGAAATAAATGATGGTATTTCGGTTACAGGAAATAAATGATTGGTTTCGGTGAAATGTTGCACCATTTCTTCATATATCTGCTCGATAGAACATAAATTAATACACACTTCTCGCTTAATGTCGTTTATAAGCCGTGTTACTTTAATTTTATTAGTATCCGGTGTGCAGGTATGTTTCGTTTCACGTTTTACGTCACATTCATCTTTGGTTAAAGTTACAGTTGCAGAACAAACGTCCCGATTTGTGCACTTCCATCAGGAGGTGCCGTTCTGATTTGTTTTACCATCTTTGGTTAATGTGTATTTACCTCTTATTACGAGAAGTTTCTGTTTCTTTTTATTTGTTGTAAAGAACACTGTTTTATAGGGAGCCATTTAGAAATTTGCAAATAAAGAAATTTGGAGTATTCTATCATAAACAATTTCATGAATAAACTGATTATTTACAAATGACATTGTCAAGTTTATGATAAGTATTTAACATAAACTAGTTATCTAGAGAGGTTTTACGTATCTAAAGAGGTGTTGCGTGTGTAGATAAAGCCCGTACTGGAAGCTATTTATAGTCAACATACTGGGACATCCAACCTTTAAGGATTTCAACTTTATAAGAATTCAACATTTGGCGAAATCGAGAAAAAACGACATTGTGGTAAATTAAACTTTTTGAGATTTCAACTCTATGCGAATTCAACTTGATGGTCCGAAAGGCTCTGCAGGGTCTCACTGCAGGGCAAAGGCCTCCTCTACCCTCTGTGGGTAATAGGACATAGTCCACCACGCGACTCAACTGCATATTGGCCGTCGTCACATATCTCCGAAATATGTTTTCTCTGTTATTAGTTTGAAAAAACGCAGGAATCCTCACGATGCTTTACTTCACGCTGAACACGTGAACCACTTAAAATTCCAATTTAGACTTTCATAGGTGCCGGCAGCGGGGTTTGAACACTGGTTGCTCGAGTTCATTGAATTAAAAGCGAGTGCCCGGTACTGAGCTATTATGGCTCAATGTCAATAAGGACAACCCAAATCAGTAATGTAAGTAAGGTTGTTATTAAAAGTTACCTTAATGGACTGCCCGCTTGAAACTTGTGGCCACTATTTGGTGGTGGCACCACGTTCGGCACGGCATTGTTGCTGCTTGCATATTCACCGACGTTCAACGATTGACCTTTGCCGTATAAAATAAAACATTAATAAACTTATGAAGAAACGCCATTATTGATAGGGTTATGTTAGTGTATTGTTTTATTTTAGAGACACAGCAGGTATATCTGTATAATAAAATTAACAGACTGTCTCATGCGGGAAGCACCACGGCCTTACTTAATAACGAAGTAACGCAGAAGTATTTACAGTTTTGCATTTTGTCTGGTGTTTGAAGTAGCTGGGTCTGAAACTCTTGAAGGTTGACGGCAAAATGTGCTAGCCGACGGGTTTTGTTTACATCAATAGGTGAAGGTGATAACTTAACCTTAGGTGAATCTTGTTTGCCGCTTGCTCTCAAAAAGAAAAAAAAAACAGTTATATTTAAAATTGGAGAAGGACAAGGTGAACGTAGAAATGGAAAATAGTTCTTGATTATTATTCTTCTCGTTTATTTACATTTTGAAGATATGTATCTTAATGTTATGATATCATACAAATTTGTTGCGATGGATTCTTGAAAATAGACGTACAGATGTTTCGATTATTAAAATATCTAGATCGATACATTTTTCTGTCAATTAAGTTATTATATTTAAACATAATCCGAAATCGGATTTTGTATTTAATATTTTGAATAAATAAAAAATGTAGTGACAGCTAACCAATTTTTATTAAAAACACATCATTATACCTACATTTCGATAAAACTTATTTACGGAAATTAAACCGTAAAATGTAATTTTTTTTTATTAAATATACATAGATACATTTTATATAGATTCCTGCTAATTATGTATTAATCGCGTTATTTGAATATAATAAAAATGAATTGCTGTTCGTTAGTCTCGCTAAAACTCGAGAACGGCTGGACCGATTTGGCTAATTTTGGTTTTGAAATATTTGTGTCAGTCCAGAGAAGGTTTAAACTATGAGAAATTATGGAAAAATGCATTGAAAATCGAAATAGCAACAATTTTATTTTCCCTTACAAACTGTACCTACCAACTATGTCTGTGTAACCTGTCAAACACTTTATGCGTGCGTTGCGACTCCTCTTGAAATAGTTTATATGGCAAAACAACGATTGCCGAGTCAGCTAGTTTAAATATAATATTCAATATTTCTTATCGTTCCATACTAAAGGAAAATGTTTTTTTTAATTCACCTGGTGGAAGCCCCAATCCCCAAGCGTTGATGTCGTTGATGTCGTTTGCATGAGGCTTGAAGTTCGCTATGGCGTTGCGGTGTATATCTGATCCTATATACCTGAGGACGGATTATTTATTTGTACTTTAAGATATATATATATATGACTACTAATATGGCTACTTGTGTATATTGCTTATAACATCATCCGAAGTTATTAGTCGTCTCAATGTCGTTATATCCGTCTTTGACTGTACTATGAAGTTAAAGTGTTTTCAATTTTTTGCTTGATATAACCTTTACTAGAGCCGAGATAGCTCAGCATCCGGGCCCTCGCCTTTAATTTAATATACTCGAGCAACCTGAGTTCGATTCCCGGTGCTGTTAACCTATGAAATTGTTAATTTTAGGTGCTGATTTTATCACGTGCTCAATGGTGAAGGAAAACATCGTGAGGAAACCAGCATATTTTCGAAATAAGAAATAAAAAAATATTTCGAAAATATATGAAAATCGCCAATTCGCACTGAGGCCGCGTGTTGGACTATGCCCTGATACCCTCTGTAAAAGAGAAGGCCTTAGCCCAGCAGTGGGATATGTATAGGCTGTTAGATTACTTTCTTTAAACTGTAACACAAGATTATCTAGCGTTGTCGTTGTGTTTGGGCCCAGTGAACATTTGCATCTAGTAAATCTATGTTGGTTAGTGGCCAAATCGATAGTCATTTCATCTTCTTCGATACAATTGAAAATTAGTGTCGTCTGTACTATACCTACGGGTATTACTTATGGTCCATCGCGCGAAACCACCACGGCTTCAAATTGTTCTTAATATATATAATGTATGTATGTATATTTTTAATTCACCATGATTCTCCTGCCCTTATCCCACCTAGGTGGGCTCGGCAACTTGTGAATCATGTTGTAAGCAGTTTTGGGTATGTTTTTTTATGACTGGCCGTCCGTCTGATGTCAACCTTCCTTGGGAAATAGACACCCAGTTCCGGAACATTTATATGTGGGTCACACAAATACTTGTCCCTTGGGAATCGAACCCACGACCCCCCACGCTGAAGCCGATAGCTTAACAACGAAGCTACTTAGTCATATTTTCAATTATTATTTCGAAAATAAGCCGGTTTCCTCACTCTGTTCTCCTTCTTCCTTCACCGATGAGCACGTAATAAGCCGGTGTTTGAAATTGAAATTAATAACTTCATTTGTACCGCAATTTGAAATCTGGTTACTTGCAGATCTGAGTTTAGGATGTACAATCAAATGTAAGATGTTTCTGATTAGTGAATATAGTAGTTTCCCATAACAGGATTAGTCGTTAATTTGGCCATCGCAGTGTAAGATGATCCCTACTAGGTGGAGTGACAACTTGTGCTAATGTGCGGTAGGTTAATGGATGCAGGTGGCACAGAATCTTCCTTCGTGGCAGTCTGTGGAAGCCTACGCTCAGCAGTGGACTCAAACAGCCGGACACGAGGATGATGATGAGGAAGCATTCTTACTCGCTGCCAAGTCCAGGTCCAGAGAGTTCCCAATCCTGAGTGTTATAGTCGAGTATTGGTTGGTGTTCGGCATGAGGCTTCACAACTACCACGGAGCCCGGGTGAGATGGGTGACCATAAGCCGGAGCATAAGGTGCCTGGGGAACAATTAACTTAAATTAATTATTATGAAAATTACGACGACGGTGAGACATTGCTGACAGCCGAGGGTGGTAGTTTCATAGCCTAGTGATATGAACCTTTCATCTAATGACATTTCATAACGTTACGTTTTTGTACGATGTTTGGTCACAAAATTAAAAGGAATATGGATTATATGCAGTTTTGGATAGTCTCCGATTAGAGAGTTTGTTTACAAAGTATTGTTTATTTTTGTCATTTATTACAGGTTCTCATCTCCTGTAACGTTAAAATTATATTTTGTCTAGCACAAATCTCTCTGTATTTGTAAAGCATTCACAATTTTATTTCATTTCTTCATTGACAAGCATGTGTTAAATGAGCCGTGAAAGTCTAAAACATGAGAAATTTAAAGTTTACATAAGAAAGATCTCGTTTACATTTCACATTTCGTTGATAATTGAATGTCTAATGCTTTCATCTTTTATTGAACTAAGCGATTCATGAGTACTTCTACAGATTTTGAAATTATTTCAAATCGTATAATTTCTAATTCATTTTTGCAGACGATTTTGCTGATGTACTTTTCTGGCTTGGGCTAGTTTCTATCTTATTTTCAGTCATTTTAAAAACGAACTAAATAGTAGTTTTTTTTTAATTCCTTACATCAGAATCATAAAACGTAATGACAATATGATGACGCCGTGCCGCACTTGTCAATGTATTGGCTTCGGCGCCAGGGGTCGTGGGTTCGATTCTCACACGGGATAACTATTTGTGAGACCCACAGATAGTTTTTTTAGATCTGGGTATTTATTCCCGTGAAATTTATCTTTGTAAAACGTTCTTACAACACAGGATCATGTATATCTAGAGCAATGCTATTGTTTAAAAAAAAAATGTTGCCATTCATTTAGTGGAGCTTTTCTGCACTCAGTTTTAAAAGCACTTTTAGTTATTGTTATCAAGAACGTGTTTACCCACAGCTGCAAACATTGATTCAACACTACACCATTTATCTTCCCAGGACTTATCCGGTACTAACGCACACCTATCTTCACCTAATCCCTGAGAGTAATCCAACAGTGATAAAAAATTAAATACATTTGAATAGTAAATATAAAGGATTAGTTTATTAACTGGACTGCCTTACCTTATGGTGGTGGTGGGTGATCAAATGATGATGATGATGATATTTGGTAGTGTGATAATTCTGGTGGTACCAAGAGCAAAGTTTAAATATGTGACTCAGAGCTGGGAAGAGGAAGAGCAGGAACTTTAAAAACATCTTCTTCGCAGTAGAAACTCCCAAAATCAATGGCAGTACGAATATCAACTTCAGGGCAATTAATTTAACCACCAATATAATTGCTAAAGCTGCCATTACCAATTTCTTTTTAATGTATTTTTCTGAAAAATTCGTTCATTTAAATTAACATCGTATTTCAATATCATGCGTATCATTTTTATTTCTCTAATAATTAATACCTCAGATAAAATGTGGTCGGTTATACATACTTATTTTATGAAAAAAGATTCTCCCTTGGCCAACAGCATCTTCTTTTGGTTCCAGATCAATATGAACAAGAGCTCCAGTCTTGGTAAGAGCTCTTGGAGATACTTTCAATGTAGTACCGTGGAAGAAAAGCTCGGGCAATGTTAATTTCATGTCATGCTCCATTAGAAACTTCACGCCTTTAGTGTACAGAGCGTCTGTTACTTCTTCCAAAGGGGTTTCTGTGAACAAAACAACATATGAATCTGTTTACTAGCTTATTACCCTAATCTTTTGCATTAACTACCGTAATTATCAACAGCTATTATCGTAACCCGTTATCAGTAAGCTAAGCTAAGGCGAAATGTCAAATGTCAAATGTTTTGAAAACCTGAAACTTCATACCATCTTTCTCACTGGACCGAAAGCCTACCATCAATTACAACAACTAAGTAAACGAAGAAAATCACAACTCAAAGTGTGTGTGAATCAATCGTCAAAACACAATTTATTTGAGAAAAATATACCTATGAAGACGTGGTCACACTAACTAAAGACTCATTTCATTGCCTGATTGTAAATCTATTTTCTACTTCACCTTTACCTTGATTATCACATACGACACTTTCATATTAGCCCCACGCTCCAGATCTGTACGTATATAAACATCTCAATTGTAGATTTCTGTCTCTCTATCACTTTTACAGTAAAACGGAAAACCAATCATGCACTTTGAATGATAAATATAAAGTAAACTGTATGGCTGGAACCGTAAGGTCCAAAACAGTTTACAATGGTTGATATAAAGTCGTTTAATGGACCATATTGTTAACGTCGGCACTTGAATTTTCTATTACAAAACAGATAGCGCATTGTGCTTTGATTTTCCCACGTTTTTTGGGCGGGAACGCGGAAGACTCTCGCAACATTAATGTGGCATTATGGTTATAAGTTATCAGTAAGTGAAATCTGCTATCTCTACATGTGAGAATAATTTGGGATAGATAATGGAAGAAGAAAGAAGATTGGGTATGTGAAAAAAGATTGAAGCAGTATGATTTCGCAATTAATGTTTACGTAAGGGCATGCTACCAGGACCCACTCCACTGTCTGTCTGTCCATCTCATGGACCTCGATAGTTAGACAGTTGAAATTTTCATAATGAATTCTGTTGCCAGAATTACCCCTTCGTGCAACCCTTCGTGCGCGAGTCCGATCAGCACTTGGCCGGTTTTTAATGACTGACAACGCATCTGCAACCCATCGAGTGTTTCAGATCTGCCATGGGATGGGATAATCCCCACTACTGGAAAAATTTTGTGTGATGAACAAGGTGTTTTTCTAGTATCTGGGTTTAATATAATGTAGAATATGTATTTATTTACAAAAGAAAAGTATGTTTATCAGTTATCTCTTACTCGTAGTACATGCCTTGCTTAGTTTGGGACTAGAGAACGTTGTGTAATAATGTGTCCTGAATATTCATAAAAATAAAAAAAATGCATCTGCATAAAAATAAAAAAAATGCTCGCTAGCCAACTTTGCGTTTAAAAATAGGTAGACTACATATTTTTGGCAAAGGCAACATTTTAGGGAAACGTGTTTTTATTACTCGTCAACTCTAGGAGTCGTTTGTAACTTTATCAAATCCATTTTTATTTAAATAGAAAATTTCAAATGATATGAAATTCATTAAACGAAAATAGATACACCCCAAGGATATCAACAATACCAATTTTAGGTCCATGGTCAATATTAAAGTCCAGAGAGCCTTCACGCTAGTTATGGCATTCAAACGGACAATAACGCAATATTCTTTTTCTTCACGCCGCTCCGGTGGGAGGTTCTGGGAGTTCATCCTATTTCCTCGGTTAGACTGAGAGATACGCGCAGTGACTCAGATACAATAAAATCTTTAACTATTTAATAAAAAACTACATTAAAAGCCTCAGAATCCATAGAGAAATTTACATAATGATCGATTTATACGAAATTTCTCACAATAATCTTTGAGATTTTTAAAATAACTGTAGAACGGGAAATATTATTTTTTTAAAGCTTAACAAGTCTATGTGTTGATAAGATAAGCAGGAATAAGATACTAGTTTTTGACAGTGTTTTTTTTTGTGACGAGCTAGCCAATACTCAAACTATTATTCCGTCTCATGGTAAATAGTGGTAATGAAGTATTCACTCAGTTGACGGAGTAATGCCCGATTTCACCAACGACCCCTAAACAATCCCATAGTTAGCGGATCCCTAAGCTAAAGAGTCCCCTAAACTATCCCATAACTAAATTTAATTTTCACCGACGCAACAGGCCACTAACTAGTGGACCCCTCCATATGTGACACATTTTTTACAACAGTAGTGATTTCATCGTATGTATTTATTTTTAAGTAAAAATAATGTAATAATATTTAGTTTAAAGAAGATTATTTTATTTTATATTTTAATAACACCTTTCCATCAGTTATGTAAAGAAAATAATAAAATTCACATAATTTTTATTTTCCTTTTGACTAGTCACCATATTGTCAGATAAGTAAGCGTAGTTTGTTTGACTGGATCACTTGACGCAAGTTCTACTCTATGTAATCGCAACCGTTTCTACTATTTGAATCATCTTTGAGTAAAAGCATTCTGTGATTTCAATTTAATTTAATTAGCGACGTAGTTAATAATGTCTAAAAAGAACACGGGCCATAAGGTGTCTTGTTCTGAGAAATCCGACAAAGTTAATTACAAAATAGAGATGCGCATAATAAGAAGATAATAGGTCATAAAGTAATATTAATGATAAAGAAATAAAACGTTATTGCACGAAACAAACAGAAGCACGCATAGAACGTCTGCAGATGTGAATCGTAATAATTTTTTACATGGTGTCGTGTTATGAGAAAGCCGACAGAGAGCGCTCTCCAAAATTAATTATACAATACATAAATGCAATAAAGACATAAGATGTTATTGCTCGGAACAAATTTAATTACTATTAATATCAAATATAGTATTAATGATCTCTAAATTATCAAGAAAATCAATTAAATCAATGTCCATCTTGTTCTCTAGAAATTGCTTTTAGTTATGGGACGGTTTATGAGGCCATTATACGTCCTACTAAAATTAGCGGACCGTTTCGTCGGTAAGTGGCCCCTAAATATTGGTGAAACGGAAACGGTCCCCTAACCGACCCCTAAGTCTGTTAAAAGGCCCTTTAAATCTTAGGGGTCGTTGGTGAAATCGGGCATAAGTCCCTCGAATATTCGATCAGACAAAAATGTGATGGTGACTATTACCAAGAACTTGACACATAAATTGATAGTTATTTTGACCACCGTATTTCTTAATAACCACAGTAAAGCTTTAAATAGCTTTACTGTGGTTATTAAGAAATTACTTTTGCTAATAAAAATGTATTTGAAAGCTCCTATAAAATAACCAAACCTATCACTTCACTTAATCGAAAGAGCATATTTGTGAACACATAGTTTTTTAACGGTTCTGCTTAGTTATTAAAAAAGTTCTAAGATTGCGAACATAGTTTCATCTAGAAGACTCATGACATCTAAAAGAGTCGTGATTACTTATTTCCTATGAGTGCTGTCTTTAAGAATGAACAACTTGAGTTTACGACCCAGCTCTGGTATAAGGGTTACTTGCCAATTAGTAATTTAGTGTAAATAAAATTTACATTATATTGTTGCATAAGATAAAGTACAAATTAAACGAAATTTTCAAAGATATTATTGCAAGAATAGAATACGACATAAATGTATTAAAAAATCTTTAAATTAAATACTCTCATCTCACTCGCGATAGTTAATTAAATTCTATATTTTTTGAAAGTCCAGTTCTAGCTTTTTTATTGATTGCAATTCAATCGATCGTTACGAAAACAACTTTAAAATGTGATTATGCAATGAATAATATTCTTTAACGCCTATGTAACACGAGTTACATCGATTGCACAAGAAATATGGGGAGTGGATGACAGTTGAAACACCAGTGTCGGAAGAAACGGATGATTCATATTGATCCTTATTCCGTTGTAATAAGGGACTATTATCAAACGAATTCGGATGAAAAAAATTAGTCTATTTTGCTTTCACTGACAGCTTTCGAATTTCTTTTTCGTATTTTTAAACAATTTACGAATAAAATCTTAGCTCTCATGGATTTAATCGCTCTGTAATACGTTATTATTAAAAAGAAAATATTCAAATTAAATTATGCTTGATCATAACGGTACAAAATACCAAGGCTTGAATTTCTAAGCTCACTATAATAGGCACATTCCCTGACGTTACTGTTAATGTCATTATAGGCTACAAAATTTACTATGGTAGGGCCACGCAGCAGCTTCTAATGTTGCAGGAATGGGCAGGCTCATTATGTTTTATAGAGCTAAGAAGGTAGACATATAAATACTTTTACCAAATCACCGTAGTTTCGCTTTGCACAGCAATGATAACACTGCTATAATTACTTATTTTATTACTTTTAGATCAGCATTAAAACACCACTCTAAAGGTTTATTTTGGATTGGGCAACACTGTCGCGTATACTTCTCATTGACAGCCAAAGAAGACCAGTAAATGATATTTGTTAGGGCTTGATGAGCTTAAAGCTTTTTGGCCTTAGGAGCTTTTACAGTTTCGCCGGACTTGAGGTGGCCGGGCGCTCGGGGTGCCTACCCTGTCATTAAATGCTTCGTGCATCATCATTTATAGCACATAGAATGACACTTCTTTTAGTGTTGCCAACGACCTCAAGGAATGACTTCTTTTAGTGTTGCCAACACTCGTTTCATCTGGTGAGTGAGGTAGCTGGCGTCCACTTCTTTAAAGGCTGTCAACGCATCTACCATCCCGTAGAAGTCAGACGTCCATGGGCTTTTTGTATTCATTTAAAATCAGGTGAACCACCACGCTTACAACTTTTCACATAAAAATTCCGAGAATGGTTTGAACGTAGCATCCATATGAAAATGAGTACAAAATTGCTTGGTTCCTGTCGGTAAGGCCGATTGGATGTACCAAGTATAGAACAGGGTGCTTAGTGGCAGATTCTCTTATCGATATCAGGTTCGTATTACCTGTATATGCTTACAGAACCTGTTTTTATTCAGAGCGTATACGACGTTGAAACAGCTTCTTTATAAAATACTAGCTTTTCGCCCGCGGCTTCGCTCACGTTGAAGCCCTTAAATAAATACCAAGATTTTTTCAAACCTTTACAACACTTTTTTCCAATTAAAAAATAGCCTATGTCCTTTCTCAGGCTCTAGAATATCTGTGTACCGAAAGTCATTTAAATCGGTTCAGTAGTTTTGGCGTGAAAGCGAGACCGACAGACAGTTCATATTTATAATATTAGTCCATACTAATCAATAAAGTCCATAGTCAATCCATATTGATGGCGATCGTTTAATCTATGGACATTGTATTCACATAGTGGTAGGCACTAGCGACTGTGGCATAAATCTTGTGCACGATTCGAAAAAAGAATGAAGGAAGGAAAGTAATTGGGCGTCCGCTTCTCTTCGCTAAACGCTGGAAACTCGGCAAAGTTATGCTGTATTTGCTGCTACTTCGTGAGAGCTTGATCACTCGATGATTAAATAAATGGATGTATAAAACTTATTGAGATACATATGAACTAAGTGTATGTAGCGTTGGTTTAATTACTTTCGAAAAATTGGAAAAAAAATGGGACTAAAATCCTATTCCAGAAAAAAATTAAATAAAATGATTTCCTAAATTGACGAAGTCTGATCAATGAAATTTATTTTTTACGAGTTGTAAATTTTTATGTGATTGTTTTATATCACTTGCAGGGTAGTTCAACGATATACAGAAATATACAAGTACATATTATGTAAATAAATTAAGAAATATTTATCTATTGAATTATTAACGTAATAATAAGACGGCTGAACTCACGTAAACCCGGTGTATGTACCGACTAGTTTCGGACTCAACTAATTTCACTCGCCCTGATGAAGGAACTCCGACGTTAATAATGTCTCACGAAAGTTTTCATAATTTTATTGACTCATTATTCTATTCATATAAAAATCTATTGCATAAAGTATAAAAATACTCCTTGGGAGAAATCAATGCGCTGCAATTATAAATATTATCGATTACCTTTTTATTGCATCATTTTAATTAAATAAAACAAAAAGCTCCAAGTCTTCAATAATATACAAGGTTAAAGCCCTTCAAGCGTAGACAGAAATAAGTTTAAA